CCTGCTTTGAGAGTGGCAGAGCTGCCGTGATATATGGTGGTGTGGAGGACAGCAGGGGAGAGCACAACAGAGGAATCCTCACCATTCCAGCAGGACTGCCCAGAACAGTGTTAGGAGGTTAGCCAATGGGTTAGTTTTGCTTCTCAAGCCTGTTGAGGATTGTTTTGCTTTAGAGTCCTCAGGGCCAGAGAAGCTAAGCTTGGCCTTAGCCTCCCCATGATGAGCAGAGCCACAATCACACTGCTTTGACATGCTGCTAGAGGAGAATCAGGGCCAGCTCTGTCCTTCCATCCAGTTTCACCAAAGCAGCTGGGAAACTGTGCAAGGCTGATTTGTGCTCCTAGAATTTTTAAAAGGAGCTTTCTGAGATGGCTTTCAAGCCATACTTTCATATATTAGCAATAAATTTAGATACATTAAGTACAACAAAAGCTTTTTATCACATAACCCAGAGGAAAGATCCTTCAAAAGCACCTATAAAACTCCAACTTTTACACTACAAACTGTCACTGAAGTCAGATCAGTTCAGAGTACAGATTCTTCTCCACACACAAGATATACTCCTCGAACACATTAGTTATTTGATGGTAAACCCCCCCATGTTTATTGAAAACAAAGGATTTTGAGGCTTCTGTGTATCACACTGAAGGGCTAAGGCTGTGCCTCGGCCTGATGTCACCTAAAACCTGTGGGTGCTCATCCTCCCCAACAGAATTTGGCACTAATACACTAATACCTGGTAGCTAGTGCTGGGAAAATAGCTCAGGATCCAGAGGAAAACCAGCTATGATTGCCAAAGCACAATTTAAAGAGAGAAAATTATCTAAACCAGCAGCAGGGCCTCAAGCAAAGACCCTAAAGGGGCTACAGAGTTCCAGGAAAACCAAATCTCAGCTAAGAGATTGTAGATTTAATATTCACTCTCAAAAGTCTTCACTGCACTGCAGCATTTCCAGATACACTGTCCACAGTGTGCATTAATTAGTGTCTCTTTTTAGGCCATGTTTTAGCACATGGGTTTAAACCTGACTTGACAGGTTTGCAATTCATATTTCTGTATTATCTCAGTTGTTTTAAGTTTTGTGCTTGGATTTAACTGCAAGAACCACTGCAAACCCAGGAATGATTGAATGCTGAGCTACCCAGAGAGAAAGTTGCAGTAATAAGAATGGTTTATTGCTCTGATTTGCTTAGAGATATAAATCTATCAAGTTCCCAGTCCCAGGCACATAGTCAGAAGGGACAGTGGGCTACAAATAGCCAATACAGGACTATCTCAACCAAGTCCATAAAGCTAAACCAGGATATTTATTTCCAATGCTCTAACTAGTAGTCTAATCAGTAAAAGCCCTTAAAGTTGCAATAATATTTCACTGGTGTGTACCAGAGCGTTGCAAGTTATAAAATTTCCAATTTAATTTTACTGCATCCCTCAAGCTGCAGTAATTAGAAGACAAACTCACAGGGAAGCTGTTTATAGCTTCAGGGGTGAGAATTTTGAACCTGTCCTGCAGGTCAGCCATGTCCTCCGGGTTCCCAGATCTAACAGCTGCCTGCAGACCCAGGAGCTTATGGTAATACTGCAGTAAGTCCTCACTCAGTCGAAGGGGGCAGATGTAGATGACATCCACGTTGGCATCTGAAACAAAAGGGGCACAGTGTTCAGCCCTGGAAGAAAGGTAAACTCCATTCCCAGCACCACCTTGATCATTCCTGATGGTTTGCTAACAAACAGCTTCCCTGAAAGAGCACTGGAAATCAAAATGAGGTGTGTAATTCCCAAATGTTTGCGCTTTAAGGGCTTTTTCTGTGCTTCAGCATTTCCCTGCAGACAGGTCAGGCAGCCCAAAGAAATAGCTGCTTTTCAGGCTCCATTCTGCTGCATTTGGGCAGTATTGGAGGGGGATTTGTGTGCCTGACTCACACTGACATCAGTGGGAACTGACCTGCTCTAAAAACATACCCCATTAATGCCAGCAAATGATAAAACTATGCTGCTCAGTGTAGAAAGCTGATGAAACTGCAGTTTCCTAATTCCTGTTCCTGATTCCTGCCCTGTCCACATAAAAGCTCAGGGTAGGATATCGTTACTAACTCCTGCTGAGCAGGTGAGTGTGCATATCAGCCAGGTAAACACCACAGTGTGGAAATCTGCTCTGCTACATGGAAAACAGCTCGGGATGAAAGGCAGTGGCTACACAGACACCAGGAGAGAGGAAAATCTTTAACATATGCTGGTTTGGAATATTTTAACTACTCTGCTCTTCTAAAATATTAATAGAGGAGCTAATGAACTAATAGGCCATGGAACATCCACAGAATACACTGCCAGAAAGCACGTTTTGCTGAAATCAGTGGGAAGTCTTTCATTGTTTGACTGTGCATGACAGCCTGGAAAGTGCCAGGAACAACTGCTATCCCATGGGAATGAATCAGCAGCAAAGCAAGGGATAGATTAGATATGGAAACTCTGAGTCTAACGTAAAGGACTAAGAGATCCCATTCCCTCACTTTGTTTTGCCACGGAGCTACACGGAAATAATCCATGTGACAAATACAATGCCAGAACCTCACCTGAAGCATTAAAGTAGCAGAAATCCCACAATCAAAGAATTTACACAGTCCAGTTCATCACCACAGAATTTTTACAAAGAATTAAAAGAACAGTTGACCAGAACTGTTAGTCAGTACTCTCATTTTTAGCCACTTCCTCATTTCATTGCACAATGAGCCTGAAAATTTACCAGCCAGGGTGCAAATTCCCGACTGCCAGTGTGGGTGTAATGCTGAACACATTCTGCTGCCAAAAACGGGCAAGGTCAAGTGAATTTGGTGAACAAAATGCTGCAGCACATTTGACTCCTCTTAGCATTGCTCTATAAGGAGAGATACAAGGCTCCCCTGGACACAGTGAGGCTCCAGAGACACGTTAACGCAGAGGAGGTCACAACCGGCAAGGAAATCCTCTGGTTTTCTAAGGAAAAGCAAACTCAGAATGGTAAATCTCAGTGCTCTCCTGTCTGGCACAAGTAAAGCATCTCATCTAGTTAGTATTTTAATTAATATTTCACTAATTCATATCTTCCTCATGGTCTGTTTTACAGTAGAACCAATTTTCATGTTCATACATGATATAAAGTCTCTGCTGAATGTGATTTTTGTCCCTTTAAGTTTCTAACTATCATGTTAGAGTGAAAAAAATCTGTTATGAAATAAAACTGTCCTGTGGGGAAAAAAATACTCGTGCCTAGATAATATATAAAGGCAATTACATTATTTTAGGCAACTGTAAATTCCTGGATCTAATGCATTTTTTGTTACAAACTTACTCAATGGCATTTATAAAATAGTAATGATACTGAAATATACATGAATCATGACCAGGATGTCATTCCAGGGAGCCAATGAAGTTGGCCACTGACACATTGCTTTGTCATTCCAGGGAAAACTTTGAAATGGATGGGGTTTTTTCGCCTCATTTGCTGATTTTGAAAAAAAATAGGTTTAAATAAGGGCTTGCTCTTGCCTGGCACATCTCTCTCTGTGTGAGCCTCAATGAGCACTAACAGAATTAGCTACCTAATTTTGTAGAACACTAAGCACTTTGTGGTGCTCAGCATGCCCCAGGATGAGGCTGTTTTACCTTAGCAGAAGGAATCAGCATGGTTTTTTAGGAATCACATGGACAGCAGGCAAATGCCACAGCAGATAAATTCCTTGTGAGCTTCTCTCTGCTCTATATTTAACACTCAGATAAAAACTCCTTGTGTCATTCTCTTTTGCTCACAACTAAGGGCAAATAACAAGGAAAAAGCAGGAGCCAAGAGCTCAGCACATACCCAGGATGTCACACAGCCTTCCCAGCTGCATGTTCTGCTGCAGAGCAAGATCAGGGATCTGCTCACGGATGCACTGGGAATATCCTGGAAAACAAAGCCGCCCAAACAGCATTCAGAAAAACCCTGGTAGAGGTTGGAAAGAAATCAGATTTTTGGTTTAAAAAAAGCTGTAATAGATGTATTTCAAATCCAAAATACGGCATAGAACTGGTTGCAGCATCCTCAGGAATTGACTGCTATTGGGGAACTGATGTCACTTCATGTTTTTATCTCTTTGTGTTTTATGTGAGATTTTAAATACAGACCTGAATGTTTCAGACCCTGAATGTTTCAGGCCCAGAGAGTTTTCTGATTGAACCATACAGACCATTTTCTTGGAGTCTTTTATGTTCCTGGATTTTTTTTTAAACACTGGGGGATAAAAAGATACCATCATTAAGGAAGAATCCTGGGAATTCTGTCCTTTACACAGTCAAAAGGCACCAAACCCATTTCAGTGCTACCTGCTCACTCTGGGTGAGTGACAGCCTGGCTGAGCTTGGATTAGCTGTTGGGAGGTCAGAATTCCAGCTGATTGCATACTCCCATTCCCAAGGCCTGCAGGGAATCACAGCCCCACCGAAACTATCATCTCTAATCCTGTCATTTCCCAATTCCCATGATGCTAAATTAATCAGTGTCTATGCAAACACACACAACACACTGGGATTGAATCCATCAGGATTAAGCCTCATATTCAGTGTTTGGCATAAAACCTTCACTGACCCAGTAACAAGATCTTTACATTTCCATATATCTGCACATGACTAATCATCAGCAACTCAGGAAGAACATAGTTTGACTAAAATCTCAGTATTTCAGTGCTTTGGAGAGGGCAACATTGGCTGTTTCAGGCCAATGACAATTATTCCCAGTAACCAGCACTCTAAGGTGCCGTGGCAATGGCACTTGGCACACAGGAGAGAAGAGCACAAGAAAATACAGAGAAATTAAAATCACCAGTTGAATCCTTAGCCATTGCTTGTCAAACTTCCACACTGCACTTAGCACAGTGGCACTAGGCACCTGCACAACTACATAAAAGATAAATATATCGATTGGTTTTGGCTCCTCTGATATTAAGCTAGAGTAATTTGAAAAAGCTTCCTCTGATGACTTGGTTTAGTCTCAAGGCTTTGGGTCTCTCAGGTGGGACCAATTTTAAGCCACTAAAAAGCTGCCAAACAATTTCAAATCATTTACATTTCAAAGGCAGAAATCAGCTGATTTCCCTGCTCCGAAGTGGCATTTGAAAACACATTTAAGAACTGGGCAAAAAAACCAAGATAAAAATATCACTTAGATAATCAGTAATTACTGAGAAATCACTTAGAAAACCAGTAATAATCAGGAATAATAGTTAAAGCAGCAATCAAACAAGTTAAATCCTCCTGTTGCTGTGGCCCCACAGACAAACCACAGTATTAACCCAACCACCACATGGACTTTGCACAGACAGGCAAATAAAACATATTAATGCACAATACATTAGCTTCCTTTGACATGATCCCATTAGATTTAACAAAGAATATTCACTCCCTGTGAATCCTGGGCATTAGGAACCACATTAATCCTCACACCTGGGAACACTCTGTGCCACACAACCAAACATCTGAAATGCTTATATTAAAGGCAGAGGTTTAATATTCCTTTTCATGTAAGTTTAAACAAAATCCAGCTCAAATAAATTCAATATACTGTGACTATAGTCCACATGTTCCAGTGGAACTATAATCTGTGTCATCAGTTCTGGTTTGCAACCCACAGTCTGGGAAGTAAAACTCCAAACGGTGGCTGGAAATAGGGATGTTGACAAAGCAGCACCTAAGGAAGAGGTTGTTGGTTTGCATCAGGCATCAGCAACTCCAGTTCACACAGGGGAAGTGCAGGGAGAGTTATAGAAGCAGTAAAATAAGAGGAGTAGGAATTAATGGCAAAGGGCCTGCTGTGAGCCTCCTTTCCACCTCAGCCATGACCTAACACCCTTTAACTGCCTTTTCCTTAATGAATTTTGCTCGTCTCTAAGTGACTTCTCTCAGCAGAGAATCCACAACACTTCAAACTTGCCTGGGAGAAAACAAGCAGCAGGACGGGGTGGGACATCACACAAAGCTTTGAGTCACCTTGGGACAATATCTACAGGAGAAGGAGGAGAAGGAGCTGGGACTGACCCACCTTGAGCTCCTCAGAGGTTGGGGAGTCACCAAGGGGCAGTATCTGAAGGGGAAGGAAGAAAAGGAGCTGTGACTGACCCACCCTGACCTCCCCAGAGCTTGAGACAGGTCTAATAAATAAAACCTACTTTTTCTCACTCTATTTGGGACACCAAAATCTAATTAGAAGGTTCAAATTCATTTCTCCTTCCACTAGCTGACAAAAATGCTAAACAATCTTTAAACACTGGAATCTAATTACATTTTTAGGTATTTTTTCAGCCAGAAATCCCAAGTTTTTATTTGGGAGAAATGAATGGATTTGTCCCTCACAGCAGTATCATTTAAGCCCTTCACTATCCCTTTTTTCCTGGATTATTTCCAGCAACTTGACATGAATCCGCCACTGTTGTGCAAATGAAGAACTGCTGAGAAATTCAGTTATAACTCTGTGTCCATTTATTGGAATTCCACTTGCATGGCAAGAAAAATCAGAGTGTGATTTGCCCCAAATGCTCAAGTCAAGGACACCTCAGTAGAGAATTTCAGGCTCTATTTTTGATTTACAAAACTGAACAGAGAAACCACCGAGTCTCATCAAATTTCAGTGTCTTCTTGTTTATCCGCTCTGTCCCAGTTCTTCTAACTTAGACATTTTTATGAGTCCTTAAAAAATCAAAATACTACTAAAATCACTTGTCATTTTGCATATTTATTCCTACTAGACTGAACCAGAAGTTAAATTGTCCATTTTCCTAGAATCTCCTCAAATAGACTTAATTTTAAAATGCTGATTAAAATGTCAAGTAATTAGCATTTCAACTTATTTTTATTCTTACATTTTCAAGCTTTCTAGTTTATAGATTTTATGTTTTCACCTTTGCAAATTTTAAATAGAATTTGCTCTTAAAATTAGACCCAACCAAAACTGACCAATGTTAGTCATTTTATGTTTCTCAAACCCAATTCAATCAACATTTCAAAATGGGAAAAAAAGCCAAATATTTACATTAGATTTTAATAACCTAAATGCTTATCATGATTTAATTCATGTAAAATCCCTATAAAACACTGTTGGAGCTCTTGATCTAGCTGCATTTAATACAAACAAGCAGGAATAACTTTGCCAAACAGCACCTTCCAATCCCTTCTTTTAGAAGGAATAAGCTATTTTTTTCCTATTTTAACCTACTTGAATAGGCTTCCTAACTTTCTAAGCAAAGATCTGCACTCAAATTATTTTTACTACTTACTTTCTTCCTAGTTAAGGGGAAGATTCCCCTTGAATCCTGCATCCTCCTACACCCACACATACAAATTCCTGTGGTTCCAGGTGAAGGTTGTACAAATCCTGTCACAGAACCATGAAGAAAGTGGAATTTCCCTAGAGTTTCACAGTTTAAGAGGCTGAAATAATTTAAAAACTCCTCTAAAGTCCTGCATGCTCCAAACGCAGAAGAACAAGGATATAATGATTCATTTTTATGTTAACCTGTTTTGATTAGACTGAGGATTATTTTAATACAGCTCTGGAAGCAGCTGAATTCACACACCTAATGACTCAGTGTTTTTTCCTGGATAAACTCTCCTCCCTGTTCTTAGCCAGTTTAGAACACTGCAATGTAGAAACAGGACTCAAAACAGGATTCAGTCACGGCATACCCTGCAATATTCCTGAGGCTTTCAGGCAGAGGTGTAACTCCTACCAGCTGTTGATCAAACATATATTTTTGCTAAATGCAATCAGCAGAATCATGGACCAAAAGGCTATTTGGGCTCCCAAACTGACAGTTTAAAACTTATTTACCATCTTCATTAATTCAGGTCTTCACCAATTCACTTTAGGAAATCCTGACGCTCTCGGGTCAATTAATTGGCTGTGCAAACACAAGTCCTGAATCCAGTTACAAGTGTTCTGCCAGGATTTCATGTTCTAAGAGACTCCCAGTTCATCCCAGAAACCCCCAAGAAATTCCCCAACACCTTCACTTTAACCATAGCAGCCACCAAGCTTTTAAGCTCCCCAATTCATAAATGTAATTAAATAATTCCATTAGTGCTAATTAACATGAAACTGCAGATTATTTAAGCACAAAAAAACCACTATTCAACTTCTTAATTATTCTTGTTCACACAGCATTTCCTTTTGCTCAGGCGCCCTAGGTGCAAATAAAGCATCCCATCTGCTCGTAATTAGAACTAAATAATTTCAGGGAATGTTGCTTATCATTTTGACTGCACATTTGATTAAAATCAGTGTACAAGCAATCTCCTGACTTATTGCTGCAACAGCCCAAGCTTGGGGTTTGCCTCTCATTAAAGCCTGAAAATGTTATCTGTTATTTCAGGGGAAAAAAAAGACACCACGAAAAAATAGACAACTTTTGGAGTTCATTTCATACAGATGAAAGCAAATTACAGCAAATCACCTCTCCACTGAATAGCAGCCCCCACATAATGACTTTATTTGCTTAATCCCCAAATTAAGCAGCGTTTGGAGCGAAGGCCTCGTGTTATTACTCTCATCATGTCGAGAACATTTTCCTGCCGAGACCAATTTGAATAAAACAAGAGGCCTTCCTTGAACTCAATCAAGGAGTCATAATGTGGTGGGTAATAGAGGTTGCTGATAGATTTGCAAGGCAAAAAGTGTTATACCTAATGATGGGATATGGATAATAGTCCTCCTGGAGGTCCTGATGCGATTCCAGTTGGCTGCCAGATGCTAAAAATCAAGAAGAGCATTGATCAGTGACAGGAAGCTGCAGTGGATTCATCTAGTCAAACTTCAGCTGGTTTTTTTTTTCCACTGTACAGTTAAGCCAGGCATAAATTATATTAATTGATTTAATTACATACTTAAAACATCTTCCCCAATTAATTTAATTAGGTGGCTACATGAAGCTACTGGCAGGGGAAGATTAGAGGCTGCTCACTTAATTAACAGAATATGAATGAAAAAAAAAGCAAGCAAACATAAATGAAATTGTGAGCACTAATTAAGAGGCTGTCTGCAAACTTAAATACTTTCTGACAAAGTGGTGACAGGAAGGGAGACGAGAGAGGGATTTTTTTGTGTGCAGCAAATTAAGTGCCACAAGGTATAGATAAGGCAACGAAGGTAATGCAGTTAAAACATTGATTTTCTGACAGAACTACTTGAAGCCAAAGCAAAAGGACATTTGCACTGCAGCAGATTTCCCAGCCACAAAGGCTGAATTGCTGATGAAGGATGAAATATGATCCTTGGACAAGTGCATGGTTAAAGGGGAAAAAAATGGAAACAGCTTATTGCAAGCACTGAAGCAGGAGATGTTTAGAGAAGCAGCTCTGCCGTAACAGCTGGTAGCACTGCACACCTTGGCCCTGACTGAGAGATTCTCCAGGTGTCTCTGACGTGATTCCTTCAGGGCCTTTTTCACATGTGCCATGTGATGATGCAAGTGCCAAGAAGCTCCAATCACACCTGCTGCCCACTGCTGCTGCCTGGACCGCGCTGCGGCTCTCCCGGCCCGGTGGCGGCGCCACGTCGCTTGGATCTTCCTAGCAGCCACTTCAGGACCCCCTTGGCCTTTGTATCTTTGGCCAGGTCGATTTAAGATCTTTTCCACAGCTGACTGATTCTTTATCACTGACAAAATGGCACTTTTGGTGGGATTCTCCTCAAGCTCAAACTCTGAGGCGACTTGAGCCAACTTTTGGCAGTTGATCATGGCCAACGGCACAGCAAAGTCCTTGAGAAGCTTTTCTGTGTGTTCCAAAAAGGCCAAAATGCTCCCCCAAGATAAATGATAGTGTTGTTTGAATGCCAGAAAACCTGGAGATTTCTGGTCTACTGTGCCATAGCAAACAGCAATGTCCCAGTCCAAGCATGGATCCTGGAAGGAGTGACATGGAGAGGTTTGTAGAGGCTGTGGGAGGAGAAGAGCCACAGATGATAACTGATCATAAATGAGTGGTCAGGACACACTATTGTATTACTATTTATGACTTAACTGTGGGGATTTATGCATCTGAAATAAATTCATACTGATTCTACCCATCAGAGCCACAAATCCCAGCCCAGCTTTGCCAGAGAATCCATTGCCACACAAAGTCCTCCAAAGTCATGGAAGATCAAGAGCATTTTTAGAATGATACACTAAAATATAACAATTAAGCCTCACAGTGATTCACTGCACAACAATTTTCTCATTTTCAGTCTAAGTGCAATATTCAAACTATTTTTAGATAATTATTTTTATTTCTATTAACATCTCCCAGATAGTACCTGAAGGAGCTGATAAGAAAGATGGAGAGACTATTGACAAGGGATGGAGGGACAGGACACAGGGAGTGGCTTCCCACTGCCAGAGGGCAGGGACAGATGGGATATTGGGAAGGAATTGTTCCCTGTGAGGTGCTGAGATGGAATTCCCAGAGCAGCTGTGGCTGCTCCATCCCTGGGAGTGTTCCAGGCCAGGTTGGATGGGGCTTGGCCCTGGGCTGGTGGAAGGTGTCCCTGCCCATGGTATGGGGTGGGATGAAATGAGCTTTAAGGTCTTTCCCACCCAAACCATTCCAGGATTCTATGATCTCCATTTATCAGGTTTGCTTTCTCTTTGCTTTTGACATCTCTTCTCTTTTCACATCTCCTCAATGGCACAAAAGTCAAGAAGTCAGAAAAGATCAAGCAAAACTCCAGACAGTTTGTTACAGAACACAACAATTAGCCATAAAAAGAAAGAAATGTCCCT